GCAGCAGCGCTTGCGCAGCATGCAGCCAGCACCCGAATGTCGAATGAGGAGGCAGGCCCTTTGCTATATCGAAGTGGCCTGCCTGTGTCCAGTCCCAGGACGCTTCCAGTAGGCCCCGGTAGCCTGAGGCCCAGCACGACGAGAACATGCCTTGGGCCTGAGGTGGTTGCATGCGCCCAACTGCCTTTGGCCTGTGTTTGGCCCAGTACCCGTATCCAGCACAGGGCCTGCTTCACATACATTCACACAGGCGGCCCAGGGCCTGGGTTCACTCAACCGACTGGCGCTGCGCAACTGCCTGAATTTCCCTGAGTTGCGTGGTGTCCAGAAAAAGGGCCCTGAGGGCCTCGTCGAGCCTGCCTTCACTTAGGGCGGCCAACGGGCTGCAAAATGGGGCCTTATGGGGCTCATAGAGGCAATGGCCTCGCATTCCCTCCTCAGCTTCAACAGTCCTCTGAGAAGCTCAGTCTTCAACCATGGGGCGCTTTCCCTTCTGCAGACATCTCTCGTATTGGGCTACAACTTGAGGAGCGGTCTGCATGAGTTCTTCCCTGGTGAACCAGCGGTCCTCCTTCGGATCAGTGTGATGTCGGAACCAAACGTGGTACTGCAGCTTCGGTTTTGGAGGACGTCCCCTGCCTGCTAGTCTTGATACCGACAGCTCTCTGTGATCCACGATGTCATCGATGTCCACCTCTCCGTCCATGGTTGGGGGCAGCATTGAGCGACGAGATGGAAACTGATAAGTTTCTTTGAATGGTGCAAGTTTGGAGGCGTGAAAGACGGGGTAAGTACGAAGATGACCTGGGATTCGGATAACATAAGATGGCCCATCTGGATCAGTCCCGACAATATCTAAGACTTCCCATGGTCCAAAGTACTGTGGCATGAGTTTACGGGAAATCCCGTACTCCTGTCCCAGTTCTGAGGACTTCACCCAAACTCTGTCCCCAGCCTGAAAGGTAGAAGGTCGGCGGTGTCTGTTCGCAGACTCTATCATTGTTGTCTGTGCCTTCTGCATCTGCTCTACCGCCTGCTGCATTTTTTGTTCATATTTGTAGGCAAACTCTAAAGTACCCGGTGCAGCAGTTGATTGATTCTCAGGAAGGAGAAAGTCAAGGGGTAGTCTAGGCTTGAAAGTCAGTAGTAAATTGTTTGGGCTCACCCCAGTGGCGCTGTGTACAACATTGTTGTACAGGCTGGCGATGAGAGCAAGCTTCTCATCCGAGTCCACCTGGTTGGGCTTAATGTAGTGCCTCAACAAGTGTTGCACAGCGCGATTCAGTTGCTTTGCCTGTCCATTGGCCTCTGGGTGATTCCCAGAAGTCATCTGCAACCGAGTTCCCTGCTCTGCAGCAGCGGCCTTCCACAACTCGCTGGTAAACCAGACATCCCTGTCACTGACAATAGACTTCGGTAAACCAAAGTCTCTAACCCAGTTCTCTTTGAACATCCAGATCACATACTCCGTCTTTGCTGTTTCCGGCATTGGTACTAACCTAGCATACTTACTAAATCTATCCACGATGACGAAGATGTGATGCATCCCACTCTTGCTGGTGATTAGAGTATCCATGAAATCCATGGAAAGACTCTCAAGAGGAGCCTGAGTGCGTGGCTTGTCCCTTTGACAAACTTGACAAGTCTCCACGTACAGCTAGGCATTTCGCATCATCGTGGGCCACCAGAACCGCTGCAGCAGATTGGCTGCGGTCTTCTTGTACCCAAAATGGTCGGTGGCATCATGACACTCACCTAAAAACAAACTACGCAAAGACTCATTATTTGGGACACACAATCGTTTATTCCCGTCCTTCTCAAGGAACAGCAAGCCATTGACCAATTCAAACTCGGCAGAAGTCCTCTTGTCCTTCGCCTCAAGTCTGCGTATGATCTCAGACATGAACTGATCCTCGCGATAGGCTTCCACCAAAGACTGAGTAATACTGTCCGTCAGATCGAACTCAGTAATCAGCGCACCTGAGAAATCAGGTCTACGCGACAAGGCATCAGCAACCTTGTTGTACTCCCCTTTCAAATACTGAGGGTCAAAGTCATATTGCTCAATGACTTCGATCCAACGCTTGAGGGCGTCAGAGAGTACAGGCTGAGTTCTCATCCATCTCAGGGTCTGATGATCAGTCCTGAGGATGAAGAACCTCCCAAGGAGATAGTGCCTCCAATGGGTCAGAGCCTTGTAACCGCATAGAGTTCCTTCTCATAGGTGGACGTAGCCAACTTCTGAGACGGCATTTTTTTGGACATGTACTCTACAGGCCTCAACTTTGGCCCCTCCTGTTGCGCGAGCACGGCGCCAATGCCATATTGACTGGCATCCGTGGTGACTATAAACGGCTTATCCGGATCAGGAAGTTTCAAGACCTCGTAGTGCGTCAACGCATGCTTCAGATGTCTGAAAGCAGCCTCACACTCATTTGTCCACTCCCATGGGGTGTCAAGGCGGGTCAGATTAGTCAAAGGAGCGGCCACTATGCTATAGTTCTTAACGAAAGTTCTATAGTAGCCTGTCATTCCTAAGAAAGATCTCATTTCATAGACTTAGGATGTGGCCAATCACGAATGTTGGCCACCTTCGCGTCATCGGGCTTCAACCCTTCCGCGGAGATCTCATGACCCAAGTACAAGACACGGGTGCGGCCAAACTCGCACTTCTCACTGTTAATCTTGAACTTGTGTTGTCGCAGGAGAGTAAGGACTTTGTCCAGGTGCGCAACGTGTTCCTCGACAGTCTTACTAAAAATAAGTATGTCATCGAGGTACACGATGACAAACTTATCCAAGTAGTCATGGAATATCCTATTCATAGCGTGCTGAAAGGTGCCAGGAGCATTGCAAAGACCAAAAGGCATCACCACAAACTCGTACAGACCGTACCTCGTCTGAAAGGGGGTTTTGCGTTGATCCTCTGGCCGGATTGCAATCTGATGGTACCCGGACTTCAGATCTATCTTACTGAAGTACCGACACCCTTGCACTCTATCTAACAGATCGTCGATGCGAGGTAGGGGCTCTCTGTTCTTTACGGTGATGGCATTGAGGCTCCTATAGTCAATGCACATCCTGAGTGTACCCTCCTTCTTAGGTACGAATAGTACTGGAGATCCATAAGGAGAGACACTCGGCCGGATCCATCCCTTCTCTACCGAGTTCCTTGAGCTGTCGACGAAGCTCATCGAGCTCGCCTGGAGACATCCGATAGATCCTACCCTTCGAGGTACTAGACCATGGGATAATCTTTATCGCGTGGACGACCTCCCTCTCTACAACCCCTGTTGGCTCTTCAAATAGATCAGGGTACTTGGCAACTACTCCCTCTATCTCCGGCGGCATTTTCACCGGCTCGCCTGCAGGAGAGACATAAACTAAGTACAAACCCTCCTTCTGATTTTGCTTATAATAGTTATAAAACGCGGCCGCACACATGCACCCATAGAACTCAATCAGACTACTAGCTTTGTACTTATGTAATCTGTCGGTCCCTCCACCTGGCAGGAGAGGTAGTACATACCTAACAACATGTCCATGGGGAGTTCATCGCTCACTAGGAACGAGACGCGACGTCTCAAGTCCCCTCCCGCGTACGGGAAACAACACTCCACATCTTGGAGGTAGTCATTGACTACCATGCGCTGTTTGTTGGCACAGGTCGACTCAGGCGTTGCACTCGCCCCTGTAAACGCAGCCTCCCAACGCACGCGCGACTAATAAAGTTCCTCGTTGAGCAAGTGTCATAATAGGCCCCGGCCTTGCGGCCGCCAATTACTGACGAACATTTCACCCTTCGGGGCTTTGACTAGTGCCGTCCAAGAAGCTAGCGGGTCTGATCTAGACCACTCCACCTCTAGCTCCTCTAAGGACTCAAACACATTCATCGAACAGAGGCTCGATGGGTCTGAATGTGCTTGTGGGACGACGCTGGAGTCAGTAGCTTGGGCCATCTCTCGAGATGGTGAGGGTGTCTCCACCACCTCGACCCTAGCAAGAACAACTACTATTCCTACTGGCCCAACGTGTTTCCCGGAGCACTGCCTGAAGTACTGGCAACATTGCTACCAATGGGATGTGAGAGGATCCCAACACCTGCCCCATCGTAGGCGGGATCTTTTCGGTTACCTTCTTGTTGCGGCATTTGTACTGGCTATGGCCATATTGACCACAACGAATACATGCCTGCCGTGAGTACGGGTCTCTCCACACGTCCTCAGTTAGACCCGCTTTCTCCCATGTAGGAGCGTTGGGGTCAACTTGACTCCTTGACCAGGGGCCTCCGCGGCGTCGACTGGTCGCCTTGCCTTTCTGAGCAACGACAGCGACTACTCCACCCTCTGAAGCTTTTACGCTGTCTGCCTCTGAACCTACTCCTTCCTGGAAGTGTCCGTCTACTTCGATGGTAGAACCGTCGTTGTCGACAAACATTAAGCGACCCTTCGCCTTCCAGTTGCGAGGCAATGTCTTCTTCCTCCCATCCGTAGTGGGTGTTTGTCGATGCCCTATCTTAGCCTCAAGGTCTAGGGCCATCTTGCTGAACGAAGGAAAGTTGTGCATATTGATGTTAGCCTCCCTTGTCAACTGGTTCCTGAGAGGCAATGAGAAGCATCTCAGGTACGAGGTAAGTAAGACTTGGGGGTCATAGCGCACCCCTGGGACACAGATCAGACGCCCAACAACGTCGGTGGCTTCCCTTACTGACTTGAACTGCCGCATGTGCAGTGTTAGGATCGCATCAGTGGCCCTTTGGGCCTCCTAAGGATCGTGCCACCTGTCCTCCACCATCTTCAGGAACTCCTGCAATTTCTTCTTGACCGCCCAAGCGCGGAAGTCATGACCATACCCCTGGAGCTGCACTAAACCACTCAACCATCTTGCTGCACTACCCTCTAGGTAGGAAGCAGCCACAAGCACTTCTTCGTGCGGCAAGGTAATTTTACACCTGACATAGACCGGCACTGCCCTCAACCACGTGTCGAGGTCTTCGCCCCTCTTGTCCCCTGTGTAAGGTTTGGGAGCGGCGATGGCCGTCCTTGGAACCCACTGTGTTTGTCTCGGTCCCTGCATCACTACGGGCCGGGGACCCTGTGACACGGGTTGCTGTGTCAGCTGCTGGGGCTGTGTGCCCTGCGGCTGCACAGGCTGCGAGACAGCAGGCTGCGTGGTGACTGCAACCTGCAACGGAGTTTGGGTGAACACTGGCTGAACAGGAACCTGCAAACTAGTCCCTGTTGATACCCCTCCTGATAGCGGCATGCCCAAGGAAACGATCGCAACCGATGACGGAGCTACATATGGGGATACCCCAGTCACCGGTGGGACATAAGGAGGAGGATGCGCAACGGGCCAGGCACCAGGCCCGGACATTGGCGACGTTGCCTGCGTTCGCCCAACCAACAGGGCCAGACTTTGCTGGATGTCTTGCAGGATGGTTGTCTGACGGTCCTGCATCTCAACTACATTCAGCAGGACAGACCGTACGAGTCTCACATCATCAGTCACGTTCGTCAGGTCCATCTCCTCTAACTCACTAACGTCCGCTTGTCTACGTTGCATCCTGACTCTTCTTCTTATCATCCTTTCTTTCTCCGCTTTTATATCTCCTAACGCCTTTTGTAGCTGTGCCTCCTGCAATGCTGCTTGTTGTATGGCGATCTCATCGGGAGTCATGGCTGGCACGCCATTACGCCAGTGGACTGACTCTGGGTTTGTGCGACCGTTGACCCGACAGAATCTGAACTACCGGCCTGAGAGGACTGCTGTGCTGAGGTGGCCATGGCTTCCGAAGCTGCGGCTTCACTCACAAGTGCCCTGCTAGCCTCTGTTGCTCTAGCCCTCCTCTGCTGCTGCTGCCTCTCCCTAAGCTGGCGGTACAGATGTTTGTCGCCCTCTGGTCCTAATGCCAAATGGGCCACTGGGCGCCTTGCCGATCGCAAGATCCGGTCATCCGGTTGYTGTTCCTCCCTATCACTCATAAGCTACAGCCCTATACACAATCTGCACTAATGCACTCTAGGTGCCTACCGCAACGTAGTGCACAGACCAATAAACTGGTGGCTATTTCGGAGACTTTACATTCGGGTCAACATGTAAGTCAAGTTCCT